AGGTTGCTAGGGACCTAGGTTCGACCTAGGCAGGTATAAACTTGACCAAGGCAAGGGATTGTTGACAGGTACAGTAGAGAAAGATTTCCAGCAGAAAACTTCTGAGAGCTGCCATTAATTCATCCTTCAGCCAAAACAGATAGCGGCAATATATATACCAACCCGAAATATTCTCTTCATAAGTAGATATAAACGCAATATATTATGAAAGGGAGAAATTAATTTATTTTTTTTCAGTTGAATTTAAATCCGAATCTTCTTCTGCAGTGATTTTCGTTTCTACATATAGCATATAGGCCGCTTTTCCACCTCTCAGCAGTGAAGGATTTTGAGAAATGAGTTTTTAAAAGAAACCGGATTTTATGGAGATATTGTTGAACTACATTACAAATGTTAGAACTCAATGTAAGCATAATTTGATGCTCTACAACTTAGATTCTATGAGTTTTTTTCACTTAGAGGACTCATTTCCAAGCTGATGAGCCATTTATAGTAATTTGTCTCAATATTTGACGATCTTCGTTCATTGACCGTAGTTATTAACCATAAAACTTGACCATATTATTAAGTTTAGGCACTTCTACGCACAATTTAATGTTCTTTAATTTGTTAAAAGCAAAAAGTTTTCACTTGGTGGCCTGCGTTAGCAATTTTTTTAAAAAAATATTTTGGATCCATGTAAGTTAAAAAAATAAAAACGTTTTCACACTTTTCGCAATATATTTTCTTTTTCTATCTTCAAGTTGCTGGCCTAATATTTTTTTTTAAATCAGTTCTGGGAAGGCAGACAAGGTCCATTTTACTTAGAATAACCAAATTTTCGTAATTTACTTTCAAACCTTTGTTTGTGATGTCACTTTTTGGGTCCTATCCCAGGGCTAACAAGGTGCTTTTAGCAAAGGGTTCAACATTGTGGATTTGACGTACCCCAGGTACCACAGACCGTGGTTTAAGAAAAACGGTAAAAATAGTTGGATTTAATAATTTATATTGTACATAGGTGTGAATGTGTTTTATTTATTTTGTTATTATTCGGCTAATCTGTTATTTTACTTATCTTGTATATTGCTTTATACAATATATATATATATATATATTTTTTTTCCTTTCTTATGTACATATTGTGTGAATGAATACTATAGCCCTAGTACCAATGCCCTTCAGAGTGGCAGACTGTATTAATACTCAATAAAAAAAAATTAAGTTTTATAGATTGTTAAAAATTGAAATATAAAATATCATTTGCTATGTCATATAAAATATCTACCACCATATTTACGCATATACATCGCAAGAAAAGGGAGCCGGACAGTACCTCCTGACCTGTCCTAAGCTACCTACAATACAATAGGGGAGCTAATAGCCAGCTAAAACCTAGTGGAGATCGTTCTAGGGTTGCATGGCTCCTGTTTATAGAACTTAGTTATAATCTTCTTCAATTCATTTAATATCGTTAGGGTTTCTATAAAGTGTTTTAAAGGAAGGAGATGGCCAGGGGTGGCGGTCATAAATAGGCAAAACTATTTTATTAAAAGCCAACGTTTCGACCCGACTTTGCAGGTCTTCTTCAGTTTTAAGTGATATTCCTAGCTGAACACACCTCCCTGAAAAATATCTGCAAAGTCGGGTCGAAACGTTTGCTTTTAATAAAACAGTTTTGCCACTATTTAGCCTATTCATGACCGCCACCTCGGACGATCTCCTTCCTTTATAATGAAACGGTCAACTATTAAATATTCAACATATAGTATTTTAACTTTACACATTTTGCAGTGAAAGATTAAATTTTCCTCGTTATTATTTTTTTTTTTCGGAGATGATAAAGATCAAGGATTGATTAAAAACTATTTCCTCTTATAGATGATTAGTGTCTTGACAAATTGATATTAATGGTTACAAATGTTATATTGGTTGTGATTTATTGATATGTTGTCTGAGTTGAAAAAATATAGAAACATCCAAGTTTAACATTAAATACCAACACCTTTAGTTCTGCCATTTTGAGAAAAACTAAAACATATAAGAATTGAAAAGTTCAGATTCCTTATTGGTTACAGCTGCTAAATCATGAGTACTACGGCAAAAAAATAGGTTTATGCAGGAGAAGTTGATACATGAAGTTTTAAACGAAATTGATTATGCAGTTTTTAAACAAGGCACTGTTACTTAATACGTAGTTAGCTGGTTTCTGACTGTTTTGTCAATAGGAACAGGAAAGTTTTAAAGGTGGATAAGGAGGAGGCATGTCGGGTTTTTAAAGGGGAATAAATTCCAGAAAGTAGCGGAGCGGGAATTTTGGAAAGAGGCAGATCTGTGAAAAGGAGTATAAACGTGAGAAGGTCGGGATCTTGTGATAATAGAGTGGACAGAGGACTTGATTGTAGGGGCGACGGCTATTAATAATGATTTTAGTTTTTAAAAGAGGATTGAATGGTAAATGCAGTCAAAGGCTTTGGAGAAGTCAAAGAGGATAAGGACAGTTAATTGTTTACATCAATAGCAGCTTGGACTGATAATTTTAATTAGGGCTGATATAATGGAGTAGCCGGGGTGGAAATCAGTCTAGAGAGGATCAAGTTGGTTACATTTTTCAAGAAAGCTGGACACTTCGGATTGCTTCTTTCCAGAGGGTTTGAAAAATTGGAAAGTATAAAAATAAGACGGAAACCTAGGGGGAAAGATGAGTTTGAAATTGTATTTAAAAGAAGGACAATATATCATATCATATAAATATATATATATATATATATATATATATATATATATATATATATATATATATAAAAGATACATCATTTTGGAAAAAAAAAATAAATGATTCTAATTCTACATCATATATTTTCAGCACTTAAAGATAAAAAGGAAAGGAGGATTGAGTTTTCTTTTGTTATTTGTTTTCCCATCAGCATCGATGGACCTTACGAATAAGTTATTTCGTTTAACGAATTCAAATCACCAAAGTACTTCACACTCAATATCTCTGGTGTTTTATTTTAAACAATAATTTCTATGTATGGATTAAGGTTTAGTGACAACGAAACTTAATACTACATCATACTAGTTAGGGTTAATACTTAATATTAATAATAAAAAAATGATGATAAATATTAAAGTTGTGTTTATAATAACGTTATATTTTTTCAATTGCACTTTTTCACAACTATCTTCTTATATTTTTTTCAGAAAAAGATTTGAATTATCCAATCAAACTTTAATGTTTTTGTAAACCTAAACTCAAAAGACAGCACTGCTATTCTATTACAACTATTAACGATTAATTATTAGAAAACACTCTAAAAATATAAGAAAAGTGAGTACTTTTTTTTTTCAACATTTGTCGGTCCCCGGAGATTTAAACATAATTAATAACATTTATAATTATTTAATACTGATTAAGAGACAAGAGATGATTGCTGAATGTGATAACAAAATAAAATAACATAGAGAAAAATAAGGTACGACTAGGAATGGAAATACTTTAGAGGTATGAAAGATTGATGAACGAACTATATGGCTAAGAAATGGAAATATAAAAATCATGCCCAATGTGAACCCTGATAAGTTTTTTTATAAATCGAGATAGGTATCGGTTAATAAGTAAAAAACAACAACAATGGTACTATCATTTTTTTTAAAAGTACCTAAATATTGAAAAAACAATTGTGAAGATAAATCGATGTCAGAAACAGAAAACATGAAACATTCATTTCAAGGAATGTTATGTTACATTTCTTTAGTATTGATTAAAAAATAATAATAATAAATAAAGATGTTTTCAACAGTTTTATTCGAAACAAAATTAACATTGAATTTATTTTATTGTTCTACTATTCTAAAAAAAAAAAAAATGAAACATTATTTCTCAAAATCTTACTTAGTTCCAAAAGCGGTCCTGTTAAAATTTAAAATTTAAATTAAATTATTGTTAAAATAGTAAAAGATTTTCGGAAATATGTGTTACACATAAAGAATTTAGTAATTTATTATTTACAAAATATTGGTTATTGTGATACAATTTGAATAAAAAATATAGTTTTTAATGTTTCCTGAAAAACTGCAAGTAATGATTTTTTATATAGGTACCAATGAATTTTAGATGATTTTTTTTTTCGTATTCAACTTGAATTTAGTTTTTGTTATCTACCGATATTTTAGTCATTATCTATTTATATACATCCTCTTATTTGCGAAGTTCATTTATTATTTATTTTTAACATTATACTTTCTTAATTACAACTACTTATTATTATTATTATTATTTTATATTCATAGCTGTGGATTAATGATTGGCTGTAGTAAATAATTGAAAAGGAGAATGGTTAGGGTGTCAAATAAAAAAGTATATTTATTTTTACTTCTTTTTTTTTTACTGTTCATCCCAACCATTCTTCTATTACTTTATGTATTTGTTTATTCATTTTTGTAATATTTGTTTAAAATTTATTATTATCATTATTTATATTTCATTATCTTCGATGAATGAGGATATATATCAAAAGCAGATATACGTGGGAAGGAGGCAGAGGGGCTTCGGACTGACCAAATGATAAAAAATAACCTGTTTTATGAAAAAAATTATCTCTAAAAGTATTATTTTTGGCCAACTTATATTCAATAGGACTATAAGAATCACTTAAACGCCACTTCATGTAGGTACTTAGTTTCTTTCTTTCTTCGGAAGTAATTATCGTAATATATAAAAAAAATCTTTCGGACTGGAGCCTCCCAAAATTAAATCCTGTATCCGTTAGTGATATACATTGTATACTTTTAGCATGAATTCTTATTGTCCATGGGTATCGCAAATTGTGTTATTAAATATTATTTATTTATTATTAAATAAATAAATTACACAATAATAAAATAATAATGATTTATGTTCACTTTGGAAATAAACTACTCGATATTGAATTAAGTTAAGTTAAATAATTGTTATCTACAGGGCAAGGCACTTTCAATAATGACTATAAATTCTCAAATAACAATCACGAGGATTCCTGATGACTAGTATTAAAGACCTGAACGCCTCCGTAATGCGTAGTTATAGAGCGAGGCTAGCTGCCAGAAGTCTGGCGTCTGGATTCCAAGCCGGCAGTGAATGCCTGGCGTCAAGAGGGGGGAAGAGTACAGCGGGGTGGGGACGGGACGCCAGTTGCCAGACGTCTGAAGGTTAGTAGCCCCACCATCTGCTCTCGTTCGCCATGGAAATAGAAAAATTGTTTTTCAGTCCTCAATTCCTAGTTCATTTTATTGATATGTATAGAAACCGGCCGTGTCTCTGGAACGGAGAGTCGGAAGATTACACCAACAGCAATAAGCGGCAAAGGGCCTGGGAGGATTTGGTCAAGTTTTCGAAAAAAATCAATCCAAGCGCCGACGTTTCTTGGGTAAAGAAGAAAGTGCACACCATCAGGGGTTCCTTCCGCAAAGAAATGAAAAAGGTAACGCTGTCTTCGAACAGCCTGGACGGCGAGGATGGATTGTACAAACCGAAGTTGTGGTACTACGAGCACCTCCTATTTACTAAAGGCAAGGAAAAACAGAGGAAGTCCAAAAACAGCGTTGAAGAAAGAGAGGAGGAATTGGTTGAAGACTCTTCTAATGTTTCAGTTGAATATGCATTCCCGGTGGAAAACATGATTTTCGCTAAAGATAACGTAAGTAATATTCATACTAACAATTATATTTAATACTGTTATGTATCATAGTTTATCAGGGACTTAAAATAATAATTATCATTATGACAATTATAAATATAACAATCAAGTTATAATGTAAGTTATATTATATTATAATTAAACAGAAATTTGAATCACACGTAAGTTTATACTTTTAAGTAATGAAGATAAAACACAGGAGAACTACTGATAATTAACGTATAATATATTAAGTACCGGCTTTAGAAATTTAGCGCCTTAGGGCTATTACGCCCCCTCCTCTACCCTCTCCCCTCACGAAAAAATCAATTTCTCAAGTTCTTGTATATTTATTTATATTTGAATAGAATTTCATTCAATATACCATTAATTGAGTTGCTATGTTAATAGGCTGAAATTAATTAAACTCTTACACTTTGTAATTATAAATAATTACCAATGAGTTGCTAACGTTCGCTGAGGTCGGCGCCCCCGGGCGTGGGCGGGGCCGCCCGGCCCCGAATACAATGGTACCAAGTCATAAACCAAATCATGTGGTTGTGATAAGTCAACGTGCCATTGTAATTAAAGTAATGTTCATAATTTAAACCCATTCCAGCTTACAAATAGAGAACCCCAAATAAGTCCTTGAATTTTCATTAATTTTTTCATGTAAACCTAAGCCTCAAAATAATAACATACTACAGATATTAGAGCCCAATGCGCTATCGGAGTTTCAAGAAAAATTAGAAGTTTGTATAGTAATAATAATAAAACCAAAAACGTAGACAAAACCATAATCAATCATCAAAATATATAGTTATTTATCTAGGTATTGATGCTAAAGATATTGAAAAAAGATATAAAGCTAGGTAACAATACTGAAAATATTAAAAATATATATTAAGCTAGCTAACAATACTTAAAGTATTAAAAATAGATATTAAACTAGTGAAAATACTGAATATATTAAAATAGATATTATGCTAGGTAACAATACTGAAGATATTAAAAATACATATCAAGCTAGGTAACAATACTGAAGATATTAAAAAAAGATATTAATCTAGGTAACAATACTGAACATATTAATAATATATATTAAGCTAGGAAACAATACTGAAAATATTAAAAATACATGTCAAGCTAGGTAACAATACTGAAGATATTAAAAAAAAATATTAATCTAGGCAACAATACTGAACATATTAATAATATATATTAAGTTAGGTAACAATACTGAAGATATTAAAAAAAGATATTAATCTAGGTAACAATACTGAACATATTAATAATATATATTAAGCTAGGTAACAATACTGAACATATTAAAAATATATATCAATTTAGGTAACAATACTGAATGTATTAAAAATAGATATTAAGCTAGGTAACAATAATCGATGATATTAAGCAAGGAAACAATACTAAATATATTAAAAATATTTTGGTGTTATTTTAAAATTATGAGGATGTTAAATAATCAGTATTTGCAGTCTTTAAATGGTTTATTAGTTAGTTAGTACCCTTGACAAATAGAACTATTCATAAAAAGTATGTTATACTAATTTTTTTTTTTTTTTTAATGGGAAAATTACAGCTTTCCCAAACATCGAGTTAAGATATGAACAAAGAAATAGTTTATTTATAAATGTTATGAAAATAAAAAGTGTTTTGTTAATAAGTGGACAGTACATAACCCTTTGAGGTATTTTTCAAAATATTATATTGACAAAACATTATATTGATTTAATGTGAAATAAATTAAATCATAAATTAATATATAATAAAATTAATATATAAATTATATTAAACATTATATTGATTTTAAAATTTTAATTTTATTTTTTTGACAATTCAATTATTGTATTAATATTTGTTCGTTAATACAATCAATATAATGTAACAAAAACGTTATTATATCACTATAACTAAGCCCTTTATGAGTACTGAATGACTTGGTAGAGGCCTGAAGGCACCTACGCCAGTACCGCTTTTCTGCAGTTTCAGTGCATTTTCTACGGAAATACTTCAAATATTTTAAAAAGTAAACAGTGTTTTAGAAAGAAAAATATATTCTCCAGATGTTTTATTTCAGCACGTTTTGCGTTATTGTTGGCCGTTTAATTACAAACGACGCTTGATTTTCAACTTGAAAATTTTTTTGTTAAACAAATTGACTTTACTTGTGGTTTTTATTACCTAAACCAACTATTTTTTAATATTTTTTCATGTTTTATTATTTTCTGACTATTCAGATTTAATAAAAGACCAACTATGGCGAAATTAAGCCAAATGCTGATTCTCAGTAACAAAAAAACTAACTAATGTCAAAGTCGTCACTCCGCCACGTTTGGACCCTATTTTGGGGCAGTTCTTTCACTTTTTTTTGTGGGAACATTGGCTTTTTTTTTAATGAATAGTTACAAGGAACATAATGATATTCAATTTATAGGAATGTGGGGGGGGAGGGGAGGGAGAAGTGCACGGTAGGGGGGTCTGGCCCACAGACTAATACTTAATATGTATGCTTTCACTCTTTAAATGGATGGAACAAAACATTCATAGGAAAAATTAAACTTTTTGTTTGTTCGGACTTAACGAGGCCTATACTTTTTTTTCAGTCAGAACAAAACTAATTAACCTTGATTTTATATGCGTGAAGTTCACACTACTTTGACATTTTATAAGAAAATCGAGTCCATGACGATCTGGTTGAACTTCAATACAAATAAACACAATCACAAAATAAGACTTTTTAAAAAAAAAAGAAAAAGAAACACAGAGTAAAAATTAATTTAAAATTGCAGATTTTTTTAAAAATAGTTCTTTATAAAATATTACAATAATATTTTAAAATTGTAGTTAAGGACTGTGAGATTAAATAAGAGTTTTATAAAAAAATTACTTATTAAATATAACTAGTTGGCCCTTGCGAATAATTATTATCTAAGGAAGGAATTGATATTTTTTCCTTGGTCAATTACAATATTTCATTTAACATAATAGACCAAAATATTTGTATAATTTGCTTTGCTGGGACCTATTTTTAAACGCTGACTGGAAAGGTAATAAAAACAAAATAAAGCCTCGAACATGGGATTTTCTGAATTATTAAGAATTCTTTCCACAGTTGGAGGGACAAGGCAGTTCTCTCACCTGATTGTAAATAGTGTATATACACTATTCGTTTTTATTTATTTATTTTTAGGTTATTTTATTCTTAATTATTGTATATTTATTATTTTTGTGTATAATATATTTTTATTTATTATATTTATTTTAGTGTGAATGTGATCTCCGAACGCTATTATAAGTGTCCGTTGTGACAGATTATAGTATTTTTCTATAAACAAGTTAAAAAAATAAATAAAATGTAAGAACAAACAGATGCTTTTAAGAAATAGTAAAGTTAATATATCAAACAGGAAAAAAAGTGTAGTAGAATAGTAAATGTAATATCTCGAAAGAGGAAGAAATTATTAAGTAAACTAAAACTAATGGGATGTACCTTTCTTAATAATTGCCCTATCTTTACGATTTTGTTTTGAAGGTGATTTAGTAATCTTTCTAATAGTCATGGATACAATCGAGAAAAAAATGCATCCTTTTTGAGTTATTTGAGTTATTCGCGAATAAAGTTTCTATTCCTTCCTAACTTTTTGTCTAGAAAACGGGAGGATAGGACTATTTTTCGCATGTGAAGGAGAAGAATTTCTTCAAAATGAGTGGTAAATCATTGGATTTTATGAAGAATTGACGAAGTTATGGTGAGAAAAAAACACCATTTAGAAATAATATATAGGATAATTTATTTATTTATTTTTCTCTCTTAGTATTTTCTTTATATATTTGTATTCTGCTCAGTATTTATTGTATATTTTTTATTATATCCACGTACCAGACTGATGTTTATATTTTTTGAACTCGGCTATTATTCTAAGGGGACTCCCGGAATAAAATTATTTTTCATTTCAAAATAAAGTGGTGGGCGCGCCTAAAGTAGTTTTCACTGTATTTATATAAGTTGGTTTTTTTATTTTATGTTTTAGATAAAAAGTGCAGCTAAAGAAAAGGAAAATCACATGGGAAAATGATGAGGCTGACGAACAGACAGATGATATACCATCTTTACTTCGAAAGGCGAGCCTTGCACTCGACAGCAAAGACGACGAGTACGATTCTCATGGCAAAACGATAGCGGCGAAACTTCGAAGGATCGCCTCTGCGAATTACGATCAATTTTTGATGGCCGACAACCTGCTCAACCAAGTTCTGTTCAAGGGCCTGAAGAACCAGCTCACAGTAAGTACAACCATTACTGATGCGAACCGTAGATGGCCAGTGCAACACAATCCGGTTGAAAACCAAACTGGAAGCAGTCCTTCTTCCATGTATTCCATGCAATCACCTTCATCTCCAGCGGCACAAGACGTCGATTCGCACGCAGCTGAAGTAGAAGAAGGAAGCTAACCAATGTACTTATTATTAATTGTGTTTTCAGATTTAACTGTAATCATTACTTAGTTCTTACATGTACATTCATTGTAAATATGGAAGAGAAAAAAGGCAAATGCTTTTTCTATTCCTTTTATTAAGTAACTCTAAAACATAGCTTTAATATTTATTTAAGATATGGTACAGCATAAATTATATATGTCGTAGGGAGAGAAAATAAGTTTTCATCTTTTCTGTTTCTTTACCAATCTTATTTCTTTGGTTCTTGTTAACCATACCATCATTTACTTTCCTCAATATTTGATCCCTTGGGAGACGTTTTTTCTCTCTTTCTCTCTGCCTCTATTCTAAATATAATCCTTTCTTCACGTCTTATTGCCGTAGCGGATTTTCACAAAGGTAGATCAGGTTTTTGTTTGGAAATTTCTTTAGGTGGAAATCTTCGGGGATAAGAATTAGTAGTGAAATTAAAGTTCTGATTCAATGCAATTTCCAAGTAAAAAAAAATGGTCTAATTAAGCAACTGTAAATTTAAAAAATATCTTCACTTAGTTTTTAACTACAAAACAATTATTGTTTCGCCACCTACAATTCATGTATTGTAGCTATGCCCTTACTCGAACACTGCGATGAGGGCTCAAATATTAAGGGTTGGCCAGTTTAATCATTAACCAGTTGACCAGTTCAAATATTAAGCATTGCAACTAATGGGGAGAAAGGGGATACATATCCAGTATTTCGATGGAGAAGGGAATTTAATTTTTAGATTAAGTAAATATGTTTTGTTTCCCCTTCTTGATCGCTAAGTGTGAATTCAGTAGTAAACAAAGCAAAAATAAATAACGAGTTATGAGATAATTATATATGTATTGAAGAATTTTATCTAAAATTCTGTTATAAAATTATAAAATTTTATTAACAAAATTAAGAAAAATCCTAATTCAAGTCCCTGGCTTTGACTCGACTTGCCAAGAAAGCTGGAATATTTGTTACATCTTTATCGTCTCTTTGTTTGTAGTCATATTTAAATACAATAAAATAATTGGGTAGCATTTATGAACTATACCAATTTTTTACTATTTCCTTTTTTCAGTTAATTTATTTATCTATTTTGATCTTTAAATACAATAAAATTAATTTAGTTACATGTGCAATGTAACAGTTGTACTTTTGTATACCAGTACTTTTCGTCATCTAATTTATTTATTTTATTCTTTGATTGCTATAAAATCATAATGGTATTGGAATATTTTTTATTTTCATTAATTTTTTTTTCTTTGTTGTATTATTTGAATTACTTAAAACTATTATTATAATTTTAGTTGTTTTTATAACTGATATCAGTATTCTAGTGTTTTCTACTTGTTATTAAATAAATATTTTTGTACCAATATATAGTTTGTGTTTTATTTATATTTATTTTAATTTCAAATTAAAACCGATCCTTTTTCTCCTTATGTACATAATATTGATATCATTAACGTTAATTTATTTTTAGGTGTAGCATAATTTCTAAATTCCCAAAACTGTAAAATAGAGCAAGGAATGGGTGTAGGAAAGTGGTTGAGAATAGCGTGAAACATGCATTCCACTTCGGAGACTGAACCACCCACTGCGAAGGGACAAGAGGTTGGCTGGCGTCGACCCTAAGGATGGGTGAAGGGCCTACTAGGCAACGATATTGCAGGTCTTAAATACGACATCAGATGACCCTACAGGCTCAGTCAGGAATAGCATCTCAAGACTGACAAGAATCTCTTCAATCACGAAGGCTCCTACAAATATCAACCAGATTGACATCATTACAGCTCTGCTGACGTTGAGACAATAGATATTGTGGATTTGGTGTATTGTCTAATATAAATGTGTTTCATAAAAAAAAACATGTCGGACCGTTATTCTTTATAACATTGGACTTCAAGGAATAAATTGAACGAAAATAATTTCTTATTACTGCCCTAAAATCGTTTTGATGGATGATAAAAATATATAACCTCAACTATTAAAAATATTAAAAGTGAACTAGTGCATAAACTATAAAAATGTTGGGAAGACAAAAATAACTTAAATATATCATACATAAGTAAGACGTGCAGTTTTCAATTTTTTAATTAATTGGTCATTTAACTATTAAAAAAAAGGTTAATTTTATTGTTTGAAGATGGTTAATAAACATATATTTTTATAATTAAGAAAAAATAGAAACAAAAAATGGTTGTGAGAACTAAATAACTATCTAATTGTTAGGTTTATCTCTCCCCCACATATCTTGATTAAAGCTTTCTTTTTTCTTTTTCTTGAGTTGGCCCGAGACTTCCATTGAAATCCTACTGCTGGCTGAAGCTTGGCATGCATGATATTTGGAAATAAAACAATACAGTCCATCAATACATGAATCTTAACATGGCACGATCAACCCCAATGTCAATCATCGCTCGGAATGTCATCCCGACTGAACGTGTTGGGTCTGACTGATCGCTATTGCAGGGCAAATATCTGTACAATTGATACAAACAATATAAAATTGATATGTATACATAAAAAAAGACCTTATGTTTCATATTTAGCCGCATTGAGACCTCCACTAATTGTAACCCAGGCATCACCTTTGATGAAAAAAAGAAAATAAATAAAGCATAGTAATTAAATAATGTGTTGAGTGATTTATTAAATTTCATGCTTTATAAACAGTTTTATAAACGTTACCTTGTGATAAATGAAACTTTCGCGGGACGGATTGGAAATGCCGCAGTTTGGAGACCCATATGGAAGCGAAAAGTGGAAAAAGTTTTTTTTCCTCAGAATCACTAATTTTCTCTGGTATTTTTTAAATTTATTTATTATTTATTGAGTAAGACAACATTCTGTCAATTGGACAATAGTTATAGTGAGGTAAGAACACATTCATACTCGTATATACATAAATATATAAAATAAACAGAAACAAAACAACGACTGAATTATAAAAAAAGTCAAATATTTTATATTCAAGGGCACCATTTTTCCCTCACCGGACTCAGTCGGGTTCAAGGGCAGTTACAAATCGATCTAGATCCATAGATTATGTCTGTTCAGGCACAGCGAGCGCAGATGATTTTTCTGTTTTCCCGATAATATCTTGTTTAATATTTGTTTGTTTAAAAATTGTATATTAACTATTCTTTTTCACTGTAGGATATGAATATGAGAAGTTTTGAAACATAGCCCGAGTTGTTTTTGCATTTTTTTTTTTTTTTATTATTCTCACCAGAAATGGTGTAAAAGCCATACTGACCAAAATGATAGATATTTTATTTCAAAATATCTTATATAATATATTTTTTCGCCCTTCCGAAATAACAATAATAATGAACTCATTTATTCAGCGTGATATCCTGTAAGGTCATTACTGAACAGAGAAGCAATTCTAAAATTGTATCTTAAATGTTTTTTTCATTTTCAAATTGTTTTTGTTACTTTTACTATCTTGACGCGTATTTTTCAAACTATTGCTCGTTAATACTTGCAATAAATCACTTTGCCCTTGCTACTTCCCGAATAATTTGTTTTTTCGAAAGGTCAAGTTTTATTACTTTTGTTTGCTAACGTCGCGGTTTATAACAGCAATGAACTTCATAAACTTTATTTTAAAAATATTATGAATGAAAATATCCAATATCTTTTACGATACGAGAATCCTATTTTATTTTTTAATTTATATATTGGTTTCATAGTGAAATATTTACTGACAAGTACTGAAAGTACTTGTTTTCCAGCTGATAAAAGGATCTTGGATGAGGGCGTTGGCGGACCGGACTATTTTTTTGTGATCTATTTCGGGTTACGGAGGGCGTTCCATGCAGACATTTTTTTATCTGAACTATTGAACGGTGATAAATGGGCAACTGAGGTAAATTTGTTTCAATTAAAATTGGAAAACAAAGTTTATAGCATATGAGCTTAATCTCAAATGGATTGTTGGATTGACAAGCACACATTGTAAAGTTAAGGATGTATGAATTAGAAAATAGAAAATAATACAAACTGAATGTAACACAAAATATTTTTTATTTCAATTGTACACATAAATAAAATAAAATATTAATTAACCATAAATATTAATTATTTAAACTAAATACATAAATGTTATAAAAGATTTGAAGAACATTTTTACTAATAATTAATTTAATTATTCATGCTTCAGATATTTATGTTAACATAACAGAATATTTATTTTAAAAAAATATAGTGTTTCTGTATTTTTTTTATGTATAAGCTCTTTTCGTTCTCATAAATTATTTAATCTAATTTGAATTGATTTATATACTGAGTAATCCCATGATATGAAGACCAGGAAGTCAAGATGGGCAGGACATGTTGCTCGAAGCAATCCATCAGGAAGATTCTACATAAAAATGAATACCACAATAGAATAGTTGGCAGGATACCATGTGGGAAGCAAAAACCAGATGGATAGATAGAATCAACAAAGATGATACAGCTGTATGCAGCAAACAGGAAAGCAGTAGCCCAAGAGAACGCTGCTTACGGCAGCGAAAGATCTATTTCGAGGATTGCAAAGCCAACATACAAAAAAAAAAAAAGAAAATATTAAAAAATTTATACCTAATATATTAAGAAAATAATACATTCAATTACTATAAAACTTAATTTATAAAAAATAAAATAAATAGACATTAATATTACTATTATTAGCTATTACTATAATATATTTAAGTTAATTCATTTAAAAACATTTCTTACATTCGTCCTTCCTCTTCCTGATCCTGATTAACTGTTACTGGCCTTAGCTTTGTTCCATTGTCCAAATTACAAATTTTTTTTTTTTTTTTTAAGACTTGTTTATTGAGAAATATTACCACTGCCGTTTTAACCTTCTTGGAGTATTATAAGGATGGGTGGTGGTGGATAGGGAGGGATTGTGGAAGGGGATTCGGTTGACAAGTAAGGTTCTGGTGAAATTTGGAGAATTGTTCTGTGATAAGGTCTAGGACAAATGGGATATTAAGTTCATGGTGGAGGGTTTTGTTAGGTACGTAGAAAGGAGCATCAATTATTGTTCGAACGGCTCAGGATTTAGAAAATATAGGAATAGGACTTAGAAAAGGCGATTGTTGTTAAAAAAATTTTCTGTCCCCACAGTTCAAGTCCGTAAGTCCAAATAGGTGTCATTATTGTCTTGTAGATCAGTAATAACTGATATAAAATAAAATAATAGTAGTTAATATCTAAATTAAATTAAATAAAAAAAAAATTATTTGTTCTCATACACTTTGTATTTATAGCAAGTGGTCGGCTCCACCCTCCAGCACGGTGCCACGGGCAATTACCTCGGTTGCTCAGCTCTTAAGGGTGTAAGAGGGTCATTATGAATGATTTATTTTATTATTATGCTTCCTCACTACCGATGGTAGGGAAACTTTGTTTTCGCGTGGGGGTTAACAAATATTTTGGGCAAGAATCGAAAATTTCCACTGTCGCTTTAGGTTTCGGATACCAAAGAACAAATTTAGTTCCGTGTCTGTCTGAAGTCATATCTCCTAAATCATCCCTCCGCCTCAAATTAACGATTTACAAAAGTATTTTAAGACCGATCCTCCTTTATGGAGCATCACACCTGACTAACATATCACCGGCAACAGCGAAAAAGCTCCAACGTGTACTGAGAAAAATAGTAAGACAAACGACTTTACAAAAACACGTACATACCACCCTCTAATTACCGAACGTGGGCGACTTTATTACACGCAGGCATATCAAATTCTTTGATTGCCTTAAATATTCGATAAACCCACTTTTTAAAACACTTACTCCACTTACTCACAAACCTATGAGATGGCCACAGGCGGATCTA